TGGGAGGTATTTCTCCATGATATTTACTAATATTTCTCCAAAAAAAGGTCCATATAACCCGCCATCGAAGAGAACTATAGTACGATTAGAATATAAAAAAAAGGCAAATACTAGTCGATCGAAAATAAAGTATCTAGGGCGTGGGCTTTTCAAAAGATAGATGGTAGGACCCTATTCCATTAGATAAAGCAGTTCAAATGGGAGGAAAACCTTCTAAAAAATTAATAACGGGCGATTTGTGCGATATAGAGAGCAGAAAAATTGGCGATTTTTTTTCTCTTTTAAAGGAAAACTATTCTGATCGAAAAGATACTTCACTAATGTGTAATCGGATTTTCAGAAAATATAGCTCTTCGACAAGCAGGACGTGGTTCGCATACAGTAAGTCGAGTAAAATAAAATTCCTGTCCCCCACTTAAATCTTTCGAAAAACGTGACAGTGCAAGAATAGTATTATGGAATAACCTTCAACATCAGATTAAATGCGTAGTATTTACCGATAGAATTTGGGCAACCGAGACAACGAATTTAATAAATCCCTATTTTAAGGATACCATGTCAATTTAAAACATCAAATTGGACAGTTTTGAGGTTAAATTCACAACATAAATGTCTACACAGACTATGGACATTAAACGATTTTAAGTGCCAGTTTCAGTCAGGAGTGTCTTATGTGGAATATGAAACTATTTGGAGTATCTGGGATACAGCCTATTAACTGATTCAAAATGCTGTCCTTTTTCATAAGCACAGTACTTATAACAACCAAGAAAAACTCATTTTAAGGACAGCGTAACAATGCAAACTATCAAATTGAATCAATAGATTTGAGGTTGGACTCATACAGACTATAAATTTTGACAGCATTAAAATACCAGTTTTTCAGCAAGGGTTTGAAGTTTTTCAGGACTTGAACAATCAATTAGCACATGCAAAGGAGCTGCCCAAGTCAAAACGCACTTTCCTCACTCAAAGACACTAAACGATCAAGGCAACGAATTTCATATATTCTAATTTTAAGAATATTTAAGGACACTGTATCTACTTAAAATATCGATTTGGACAGTTTTAAAATTGAATTCATATAACTACACAAATTTTGGACATTCAAAACGTTTAAGACTAAGTGTCAAGTTTCAATCACCAAAGACTTGAAGTATCTAGGATATAAAAAACCAAATTTGAGAAGCAAATGCGGCCTAAAGAGATTGAAGCGCATTTTAATTAGCATAAGTAGCAAAACAACCAAGAAAACATACTTAACAAATTCTTATTTTAATGCCATATCAATTCTCAATTTCAAACTAAATGGTTTTAGGGACAATAATTTTAAATTTCTATATGGCATATGAATATTGAAAACATTTATGTTTTTGATAAAAAAAAAAGAAAAGAAAAAAAAAGAAGAAAAAAAAACAGCAAAGGCATGATGCATATAAGGTATAGGGCACCAATTTTCCAGTGCAAAATGTTGGCCATATAGATTTTAATGCAATTAACTTACAGATAGAAAATAATCAACAATAGACAACAACTTTTAAATTGGTTTGCCAATTAGGAACTACCTAGTTGAGAAGAGGTGAAGTGATTATGGTTAATCATGTGATTTAATTTGAATAGTGACACGACCCACCCTATTTGTTTAGGGTTTACGTCAAGATTACATCAAGATCATACAACTGGATTGATACATGATTACAACTTCAATCAAAGATCGCCACAAGGGACTATGATATAAAATGCGGCCAAACAAACAAATTATATAAAATAGGTCAAAGGACCCTTATAGTGTTAGCTGATTATAGGATAGGAGGTCCAAGGACCCTTATAATCATGTGATTTAAATCAGATCTGATTGGCCCCTGAATCGACAAATGCCACGATTTGCTTACGATGACGTCACTCGCAGGTAACCAATTGGGCAAACTTGTAAAACATTTTCCTGCCACGCATAGCTTCCCCATTGTAAAGCAAGTGTGAAAACTGGTTTTCTGCATTCGCTAATTATGAGATAAAGTTGTTTTCTCAAAACCCTCATAATTTTCCCCTCTTCAAATCATTAATTCTGTTTCAAATTTCAAGCAAGACACAAAAAGGTAGTTTTTGGTTTATAAATTATTCTATATTAAATAACTTGTAAGTACTTTATAGAACTAACTCTACAAATGAAGTTTGAATTGATTTATAAGTTCATCAATTAAAAATTAAAAACCATTTCTAAGATATTATTCCAAGAAAAAAAACGTATACTTTTTGAAGAAAAACTACTACGGAATGCTACAAAAATGTAAGATATTTCGTAAGAGTGAGAAAAAGAAGAGATAACTATTTGAGAATCGGAAAAAAAGCTAAGTTGGCGGTAAAAAAAATTTGTTAGGAGCCAAGATCAGAGTAGATAAGGGCACATTTCTTTAAAGACTTCTCCCGCTGTTGCGAGGATCATTAATGTAATGACTCCTTCTCCCGAAATTGTCCGGCCAACATAACTGCAGCAGGAGAAGCTGTAACGAGGATCTAAAAATTCTCCTTCAGCAATTTGCTTTACCCTCTTATTATTCTTCCTGTTATGCTACATAACGACAAACTTGGCGATAAGCTCCAGCAGGAGATGTTTCGCTCATCCTAGCTATTTATGACTTGCAGATTTTTATGAAGAAAGCATCAAAACAAAAAGAAATATATAGGCCCTGAGAAAAATTCTTAAGCAGTAACGCCGAAAAGGAAATGAACGCCAAAAATTAAATGAAGGTGCATGAAAACTAGAATGGAATTAACGTTTATAATGATTAATTGCAACTTTTCGAAAATTTTATATAGTTTGCGTAATGGAAATTAATAATTTTGAAATGCTGAAGCAATTGTTTGAATTTGTTAATAAAACGGTGGCGAAACAACTGACGTGTAATTGCCCCCATTTCATAATTTTTTAAAAGAATCACCTCTCCGTCTTAATATTTATCTTTGGCTGATGTGATAAAGTTCACGAAAGTAACTAAAAACGGAATGATTATTTAACAACAAACTGCTTTACGACTTTGTCCTATAGGTAAGATTGTTAAAAATATTGGACATACGCATGCCAACTTATAAAGAAAGAAGTTGCAAAACAACTAATGGGCAAATACTTCTATTTCGTAAACATAACATCGATTATGTTGCAACAATATCACAATTTATATCTAAAGCTGAGAAGAGATCTGAAATTGCTGTAGTGACGTAGATCCGAAGAAAAAAGACAAACTAATGGAGTACTAACTAAAAGAACTTATAAACAAAGTGATTACGAAATTACCAATGCGCAATAACCATTAAAGCAAGCAATTATGAGCAATTATGTAAAAGCTTCAATTAGGTTACAACTATATCCTATAACTTACGTTGATAAAAACGTGAAGAAGATCACCAGCGTAATCGGGCATACGCATGCAAGTTATAAATAAAGTCGTTGCTAATTAATGCATAACTGTCTCCACTTCGTAAATGCAAAACCAATATTCCCAATTTATCGTCCTTCTTAATTGGGTATAATATAAAAAAAACACAACTACTTTCACTTAGTAGGAATAACATTTACCATGACGCAATGCTAAATTCTATGCCACTATCCACATAAATGCCACTATCCACATAAATCAATTATTAATCAAAAATCGAATATCAATTACTTTTCTTTATAATGCAATAAAATCTGGCGAGTAGCTATTTAAACGATCAAACACTTCGTTTGTTTATTTGTGGCTTGAAGTTAGGCCCGCAGAAAATGCCGTTCATGGGTTAAATTTAGTAGGAATAACACAACCTGTGACGTAGGCTATAGTATACCCAATTGGATATCTGCAAGCAACGTCAGCGCAGGTAAATCGTGGCATTTGTAGATTGAGAAGCCAATCAGGTTCGACACACGTCACGTGTGACGTCGCTTTCAAGCATCCAATTGAATCTTATTTAAACCGCATGGTTAAGCATACTTAACTTCTTCTCGAGTTACAAGTACTCAATTCTAGAGAGAATATGGTCACTGAAGTTGATGCGAACCTGTTGGAGGAACCAAAGCAATGGACTGAACTCAAGGAACTAATAAACGAAGTGATTGCTAAGCTACAATGAGCAATCACCGATATAACCGCAATCACCGATTCAATAATGTCACAACTTTGTCCTATAGCTTACGCTGTTATGAACCTGTACGATAGATGCACAGAGCAATCAAAAGTAATCAAGAGTACATAGTACAAGAGTACATATAGCAATCAAGTTTATTCATACAAGTGATAAACAAAGTGATTGATCTATAACTAATGAGCAAATGCTTTCATTTCAGAAATGGAGAACCAAGATAGTGGCAATAAAGATTTTGCAATAAATAATTTAATATCCCTCATGGCTGCATTCGGTGAAATATAAATGGCAATTAGAAAAGAGAAAACCTAACAACCAATTGATATTCACAAGAGACGTACCTTGACATAACCTTAAATCCGTCGCATTGTCCGTGGGATTGTTTTCACTCATTTTTTACAATTGTTATCCACTAAGTTAGAAAATAAAAAATACTACCCTATTCAATTATATGTGTATCAAAACAAACTAAAAAAATATTTATAGAAAAACAATACTTTTGTGACTTTTATTATTTTTATGCTAGTGAGAACCAAAACAATATGGAAATGAATGAGGGAAAACTGGTTCCTACCACGTGATTTCCCGGCCAATAAAAATGTAGCGTTAAACGTTTAACGCAACCTTGTTGGAAGTCGCATAAGAAGTATCACTTCAAAAAAAAACGAGTCCTTGCTAAACAATAATCGTACAATAACACAAATTTTTCAGATGAAAAAATAACCATGCCACAATTATGACTTGGCCTTTATCATAGATTGACGTGAACAAAGTCCTTCAAAACCAGGTAGCTTTTGATATACCAATGGTTCAATTTTAATTGAACCATTGAATTAATAAAGTATAATAATTGAATAAAGTATTAAAAATTGAGTACTTACTCTACCGAATTGTTGGAAGTAATTTTTGACATCTTCTAAAGTTGTCGGCGCTGAAAGCCCTCCTACAAACACTTTCTTGGTCCTGGTTACCATCTGAAACAAGATAATAACTTCATTAGTTATGTCTTTTTTTATTTTTAGTTTAAGATCAGTTTAAACAGTTTAAACATTGTATTCAAAGCGGTTTTCTAATTTTCAATTGCAAAGCTAATTTACTCATGTTATAACATTTCAAGTCATGAATGGCAACGTCTCAGATCCGGTTTAAACCCTTAACTATCTTATTATTTTTAAGAAAACCGTCTTAAAAGTGCCTACTTTTTTTACTAAAGAAAATTATATTAAAAAAGGTATAAGTACAATATAGATGTATTCAATTTTGATTTTTGAAATTGTTTTTAGCTTAAAATTTAAAACTCCTCATGTTCAAAACTTTCAAGACGAATAAACTTTCGTTAATAAATTTTTTTTCATACATTTTATTGGTTTTAAAGTGGCCACCTTTTGCGGTGATGCTGAGACGCTAACGCTTATTGAAATTTTCGGCAATGCATCTCAAGTCTCTTATCTTTTAATCTATCTCATTCTTTAGAGCAGAGATGGCGCATCTGTGACACGTAACATGTATTTCAGTGGCACGCAAGATGTACTGTAAATTACATTTATTCAATCATATTCACACAAAACGCTTAAAAATCAGTTTAGTGAATTCAGGAACAAGTACTATTTTGAGCACCTTCATTAAATCTTTCAGAACGCAAGAGACTATAGTGCCCCTTCTACTTCATGCCGTAAGGGGAGTCTGACCTTTTCTTCCAGAAGTACGAGAATGTGAGTTAAGAAAAAACGAAACTAAATTCCAAATTATGAGAACAATTTCAAAACATTAAATTTGCTCAATGTTATGAGCAGGTGTTTTCATTAATGAATTTTAATCAATATTAATCAATATTTATCAATTCTAATCAATATTCTAATCAATTCTTAACCAATTGTAAGAAATCGCATTATTCAAATCTAAAGTAAATTAATCATTAAGCTATATTCACATGATATAGTTCTACAGTTTAAAATCCGAAGTTAAAAGGGCAGTGGTTCACAGAATTTTTTAAAAAAAAAAGGAAAATGAAAAAAGGGGCCCGCTAGTCATCTGAGAATAAAAATAACCTTAATTTAATCTGCACACTTATAGAAAAGGATTCCCCCTCTCTGCTTTAAAGAATCCAAATTTTTTTGCGGATTAGTGCAGGCTGCAAACTGGGCCGGAATTAAGATCTGGCGGAAAGTATGGCCATTCTTCAAATGATATCAAGTCCAGAAAATGCTTCTTGCAACATACTTGTGACTTTTTGGCCTTGTGAGCTGGTGAGGAATCTTGGTCAAACGTTCCGTTTAGATTGCCGAAGTGCTGTTTGGTACAACAGCTACTAGAATGTCCCGCTAGCGCAAGTTGTGATTTAGTTTAACGACCTCATCCAGAAAAATCATAAATGTTTTGCCGCTTGCAGAAATTCAGAAATTCCGCCCCATATCAGGGCCGATTTTGGATTTTGATGTTCTTCAACGATATTAGATTTGCATCAAATAATTTATAAAAGTTCTCTATATACTATACGAAACTTCGGTGCTATAAGTAAGACACAACAATTTGAAACCTTTTATTAAATCATGAACTCATAAAATGTATATAGCCCAAAGAAAAAGGTTGCCAAAGAAAACTTATAATTACAAATTAGTCTTCATAAATGTATTGGAAGATGTAAAAAACTTGGGAGCTGCCTTTACCATAGCATAGCTGACATTTTTAAAGGAAACAGAAAGTGTTTCTTAATTATAATTCCATTAAAACAGTAGTTTAAAATTGTAAACTAGAAAACGATTCTAACAATTAACTAGTTAATAAATCGTTTCCCCCAGAAATTTGTTCTTTATCTCATTTCAGATCATCAGTTTTGAATCATATAAGATCTCTACATGCAATTTTTTTTCGACCCACAGATTATTCTTCAACGATAGTTTGATAAGTTAAAAAAATTTTGAGAGAAGTATGAATACAGTGTTTCTTAGTAACAATTCAATAAAAAAATAGTAATTTAAAATAATTCCGTAATTTCGTTATTTATAAAATCGTTTGCTTAAAAATATTTCTTTCACATATGAGAATTACTTTTTAATCAAAAGATATTTATCAGACAATTTTTGGTTTAAAAATCGATAACTTAAGAGGTAGTGGGATCAGCTTAACTCAAACACATTACTTATAAGAAATATGAATACAGTGTTTTCGATAATTGACAATAAATAAACAAATTTATAGACAAAAGGTAAATTATAAAAAAAGCACATTAAGAGGTGAAAAGAAATAAAGAATCACGAACATAAATTAATTATTGACTTCTATAATGAGCCGCTTCGCACAGAAAAAAAAAACTGTAACAATGCCTGATTTATCTAAAGAGTGATGCCAACAGACGAAAACTAATCAACGAAACTTCTATCTGCATCATTTCTTTGTGAAATATTAACTCCATTCATCATTATGAGGGTGAACGAATTTAAATAAAGAAAACCGGATTTGGTTTCGGAAAAGCAAATATTTAGTTGTACCTAAAAAAAAAAAGGAAGTTCCTAAAAAATCTATTGCGTATATATTCATCATCAGCAAACCGAAACGACTATATTTTTTTTCTCCAGAGAACTTTGAAAGATAATTGTTTGAAAAGTAAACCTTACCCTGATTAGAAACTAAAATATAAACAATCGGATTACAAAAAAAAATGTGAAAATAAATAATATTTAATTTCATTAAATAAATAATTAACGAATTAAAAATAAAATAAATAATATACATAAAAAAAAGAATTCCGTAAAAAACAATTGGAATATATTTTTAATAAGGGAAAAGTAAACTGAAATTTATTCAATTAATCAAAATTGAAACATTTTTATAGCAATAAGATTAAACTAACAAATGATGGCATTAGAAAACACTCATTTATCATTCATTGTTAGGAAGCGTTGATGGTACATTGTTATTTAAAAAAAAAAAAAAAAAAAAAAAAAAGAGGGAGAAAAAGACCAAAACCGCAAAGGAAAAATTCATTTCTTTGGGGTTTCGTTTTTCCTTTTTTTTCTTCCTTTTGCTATTATCATCGTTTAACAGAAACGGAGAAAGATTAATATTTGCTTAACTGTAATATTTCTTTGCTTTAAAAGCAAAAATGTAGCGCTTTTGAGAAAAATAATGAAAGATTAATAAGTTAGTTCGAAATATTATATATGGTGCATTTTATGGCTGATAAAAAAAAGTCTAAAAAATTTTTAAACGATATAAAATTAAGTTAAATTTTCACTAAAGAAACACAATATATCTTTGTTAAATAATTTATACATTATCTAGTTTTCACTGTCCATTTTTATTTAAAATGATAGCAAACTTTAACAGCATTTTAGGTAAACGAATCTATAAAAAGTTCTCTGAAAATAATATATATGTGTAAAATCCATGTCGAAAATGATGATTTTTCTTTTATTCTTAAATATGGTAAATTTTTACAATATTTTAAAAAAAATATCTGTAAAAAAATATTTCGGAAACAGAAAAAAAGTTCGAATAAAATTACCGTACTCTATGGCAATGACATTTTTTATAAAAGAAAATTTATTCTAGTTATAAAAACCAAAATATACCTTATTTAAACCATTCACTTGGTAATTTTTCCGTTCATATGGTGACTGTTTAACGGAAATCCTGGTTTTCAAAAATATAGTTCTATTATTACCACACGTTAAGTAAACAATACTAAACTTAAAAGTCAATTGAACCGAATCAATGGTTTTTATATCATGCTTTAAGGCAGGGATGGCGAACCAATGGCACGCGTGCCATTTATGGCACGCGACACAGTATTTTGGGCATGATCGCAAAGTTTCACTATGAGGCATATTAACAATTACATTAAAATTCACAAGAACAAAGAAACAAACAAAAATCAATTATTAACAAAAAATTAACAATTAATGCCAAAAAAACTGTTAATAACCATAAAAAACAAGCTAACAACAAATAACTAGCAAAAAAAATTAACAGTCCTGCTTAAACTAACATCTTACAACCTAATACAAGTTATTTGTCATCTAATCTGCAACAACAGAAGTCACACTGATGTTACTTAAAGTTGAATTACGCGTATAACTGAGACATAGCAAAGTGCTTGTTTTTTTTTTTTTTTAGTAGTGAATGAAGAGTTTTGAGTAGAGAGTATTCAGTATTATTATTTTACCAATAATCACGAAGTCAAAATTATTTGACGACACGTTTATGACCTCATTAAACAATTTTTTTTAGAAAAAATGGTACGTTGGTGCATAAAGGTTCGCCACCCCTGCTCCAAAACTTGGTTCCCAGTTTTTTTCAGTTATGGAACCCTAAATGATTATCCTTCCTTCGGCGGAATCCCGACTTTAAGAATGAAGGTAATTGTGAACGTTATAATCTATAGAAGACTATTTTTAAAATATTTAATTAGTATTTTTTAAAACTTAATAGAATTAATTAAATATTTAAATAACTTAAAATTTTTAATCACGCTTCTGACATGGGTGTAGTTTATTTCTCTGCTCTATTAATCCTTGAGTTGTTCGGGTGAGGTTGAGCCACCTATATGGTGCGAATGAAAAAGTGGTAAAAAATGGCACCCGCCTTCTTATACCATGAAGCACCAGTGGCGTACGCAGAATTTTTTCAAGGGGGGTGTTCATAATTTTTTGAAGCTACTAAAAGAAATTCGAGTATGTAATAAAGCACTATTATTTCCCTAATTTAGACAGCTAGACAGTTTTGACTTTATATTTAGACAACATTGTTTAGTTAAATTTTGATTTGATTTTTTAAGTTTAAGAACATAATGTAATATCTTCTCGCATGTAATATCTTCTGAAAAAAATCCAATGTCATATGGGTGGGAAGTAACACTTTGAGGACCACTTTCACATTCATCAGATTTTGTTATGCTAGAAACGTTTTCTTCAACTGAAATATCACATTTCTGTACAACAGAAAAACTTACATTCTACTCCGTCCCCCCTTTTAT